ATTCACCCTGGCCCAGTCCAAATTTTAAAAATGTCTATATTTTTAGTGTAAAAAGTTCTGTGTTTTTTTTAAATATTCTTTGTACCGGCCCAGTGCCCTGGCTCTACCCCTGCGTATAATGATCTCATTTTCAGTTATAACAAAGAGTGTCTAAAGTGCGATTTAGGAATTTAAAAATTGAACGTAAAGAACTATATGTGATTGAATCCTCATATTTTTGTAAAAAAAAATTGGTTAAAAGTTGATGTAGATTAAAAAGTGTAAGAATTTAACTAAAAACTATATTGAGTAAATATATTGAAAAATTGAATTGACAGGGTGAATATATAATTTTGGTTTAAACTGGTTTAGAATTAAATTTATTGACGGTGCATAATTGCAATTAGTTTTTCACCTCATATGATCTTCAGTTTTTTTTTTAACTTTATATATTATATATTAGTGTCATATGAAAGATCACAAAAAGTTATAAAATTGGTTAAAAGGTCAAATAGGTGGGTGCATGAACTAACTTAAAGTGTTCAATTAGCCCTTATATAGGATGTTCTGCCCGTCCGTCGCCAATTGGGGAAGTTCCCGGTGGAATTTTTTGATGAAATTTTTTGAGCATCTTCTTCATTAAGTCTAGTTTACTTATACCAAATTGCAGCTAAAAGTTCAACCGGGAAGGCAGTCAAATGATTATTTGAAGATAACTGCGCAGTTAAACAACGAAGTACATTTCGGGAAATCATTTGATTGCCTTCCCGATTTAATTTTTAGCTCAAATTTGATATGGGTAAACTAGACTTAATGAAGAAGATGCTCAAAAAATTTCATCAAATTTTTTTACCGGGAACCGCCCCAATTGGCGACGGTCGTGAAGAACCTCCTATATAAGGGGCTAATTGAACACTTAAAGTTAGTTCATGTACCTATTTGACCCTTTAGCTATAAAATTTGGTATATGTTTTAAAAAAATTGGAAGAAAAATATAAAAGTTATAGTCATTTAAAGAAAATATAGATTTCTTCTAAATTGGCTCCACCTTCCCATATGTGTTATAACAAAGAGTGTCTAAAGCAGTCTCCCAGCGAACTGCTTCCCTTGTACGCAGGTCTCCGTATTAATTAAAGAATCGGGTTTGACGACTTCCCCCACCAGGGTTAAACCCAACAGTATATTAGTAAATAGTTTTAACCCAACATTAATTTCATAATTAATTAATTAATTAGCATTAATCCGGAAAAAATAAACTTCATTTTATTTATTCATGTCTACTATGAAATTATTCAGCTTTGGTCCCATCACTTATAAGGCAATTCTCTCTTTTGATCCCCAACTTTCATTGTTCGAGTTTTGGTCCCGCAACTTGTAGATTTTTAATCACTAATGGTTCTTCTGAGTTTGACCACTTATCAGGTCAATTTTCGAAGCGGTTGATTCTCACTAGACAAGCCATCGGAAAGGACCATGAGTGAGAAAATGAAAATTGGTGATCAAATTGTGCCGTGTTAGATCCCGGGTTCGAATCCCGTCAACTGCGATGAGAGGTTACTATGCTAAAAAATGCATAGGGCATCTGCACGTACCGGGGACAGAGCTTCACTCTCTATCTGTCAGTAAATTGAAATTGCTTAAGTATTTGTTTTCCATTTGTTTTAGTTACTTCAGTATTTATTTTGCTTCAGTTTTGGGATAGTCATTGGTTTACTATAGACCATATATGCTTTAGACTTACTTGTTTTTGTGCTCCAGAATTATCCTCTACTATGTACTGTCTACGTTTTGTATTTCTTTTTTTGTTGTTGCTCCAGTAGCCTGTATTAATCAATTGCTTTATATGATTTCTATTTAATATTTTAATGTTTGAGATAGATAGCAGACCCTGTGTTTATTATTATCTCCCAAAATAGAAAGTCTAAATAAGATTTTAATGGGCTCAATAGTTATGCTTTACTCATGGGTCAAAAACAAAGAAAGAACCCAACAGTAAGATTGGTGCAGAACGTCAGTTAGCTGCTTATTCAGCCATTGCTAACATCACGTGCAGGTCACCTACACATTTTGAATCAACTCTTTCTTCAGGTAAAATGCATATTTTGGCCCTGTAATTGTAGGTTGACGACACTAGTTATGGAAATTTGAAAAGCCACCAAAAAGTGCTGGTTTCAAAGCATATTGGTGCTAGACGATTTTAGAAGCTAATGTTAAAAATGTTCCAAAATGCATATGTTGAAATATGCCCAATCCCTGTTTGTTTTGTTCATAAAAATAAGGGGGTTTGACATGAGCGTCTTATTAAAGAAAAAGCTAAAGACTAGAAGCGAGTCAAGTGACTACTTTTTAAATATTTACCAGGAGTAGCTAGTTAGGTCATTTTTATGTGTTACTGAAGGAAAAGTTAATGACCAGAAGTGACTACTTACAATTTGGATTCATGCTCAAATGCTGCACCATACATAAATATATTGTTCACCTCTGGCTTCTTTACCATACACAAATTTATTGTTTGCCTATGGCCTTTGTATCTGTTTGACAGTTCACAGTTATTCCATATCCAATCCTCAGTAATTAGTGGAGCTCAAACTTACTTGAATGGTTAAAACTATATCTGGAACTCAGGGCTGTTGTATGATCTTGTATTAACTCGCAACATCACTAATAATTACGAGGAAATAAATATTGAGCAATACATGATTAACAAACCTCTTTTCACCTATTGAGCAATACATGATTAACTAAAACTCTTTCCGCCTTACCTTATTTACACTTAGTGGTGGACTGGGACGGGTCACCCTGACCTGGTACTGTGCAGGCCCGACCCGGCCCGGTCAACCGGTACCGGGACTGGGGCCTGAACCGGGAATATGGAGGGCGGGCTATGGGCTACTTTGAAAAGAGGCTATTAACTATATTATCAATTGTACTTCATATTTCAATAAATATACATTGATTCTTTTGTAGCACTTGTGAATTATTTTTTTTTAAAATATTTAGCCCACTCCCGACCCGGTCGCGGTATATAACCGGGCCGGTACCGGGACTGTTTTTCCCGGGCCGGTACCGGGACTGTTTTTCCCGGGCCGGGAGCCCACCCAGGGGCGGAGTCAGACTTTAGGGTAAGGCGGGTCAGATTTTTTTTTATATAAATATATACTAATATATATCTATTTATTTTTTTTTTTGGGGGGGGGGGGGGGGGGGGGCAAAACAAATTTAAGGAAAAATTAATAAAAAAAATAAAATAGGGGGGGGGGGGGGCAATGGCCCCCTTGGGGTTACATGTAGTTCCGCCCCTGAGCCCACCCGGCCTCGGCCCAGTCCACCACTATAATTACACTTGAGCACTTGCCCTATTGAGCAATACATGCTTTCCTGCCTGACTGCTTGAGCAATACATGTTTTTCCGCTTTATCAATGTTAAAAAGAGCTTGCAACTCTCATTATTGTTTACAATAATCGTGTTTAAAAAAACAAGCAACACACACGTCTTTTGATGCAGGATCGTAAAATAGAAAATGAATTAAGTTGTACTTGTATGTAGTTGGAGAATGGTAAAAACTGGCCTGCATAAATAAATAAATTATAATACTCGATCCCAATCCAAAACTAAGGGATGACAGAGAGATAGGACGAACTCAACCCCAAAATCTGGAAAGGAAGCCGCCTTTTTTGTCTTTCCTAATGAGTATTTAGGTTTTACCGGAGATATTAATGAAGTATCTAATAACTTTGTATTTAGTAACAACACATAACACACACTAATTACAAAGTGTTATGTGTTGCTACTAATTACAAAGTTATTAAATACTTATAATTATCAAAGTATATTGTTACTTATTTTGGATCCAAAGAAATTTTACTTGATTATCAAAGTATATTGTTACCACACTCATTGCGCACACACATACATACATGTGCGTCAGTGCGTGTGTGTGAATAAGTAAATAAATAAACAAATAAATAAATAAAGACTCTGTAGATAGATCATAGATTTCACTCTTAAGCTTTTCTTACTAAAATTGCCTGAAATTATATGTTATGATATAATGTGTTATTTTGTTCGAAAAATATAGAAACATTATACTCCGTAGTTTGTAAGGTATATTAGATCAGACAAAACATTCCGGTTTTAGTCGGAGGAACATTTTGGCACTTTCTCCGGTTTCAGCTGCAAAATAACTATATTCAATCATATTCAAACAATGACACATGGTCATATATCAATCTAACATTCCCAAAATGCTAATACAACGTGCCTTGAAGCAAACTATCCCCAGAAGAATCGAACACAATCGGTCAAACTCATTGTCTATATATGCACCAAAAAATTAAAAACTAGGTCCCGCTTTACACTTTATAATTTGATTTCTTCGTCTCGGCAAAGCTCTATTTGACATACGGATTGAGCTAATCACCTATCGCTATAAATCACCTGGCTTAATCTTTGTTCAATTTAGCCTTTCTAAAACATACTTTAGTAGTACATCCGTTCTTCGTATTTGGTTGTACAAAGAACCAAGTTCTTGTGCATGCCATGAATACAATTCCTGTTGATCTCACTTCCATATTGATCGCGTTTCATAAAAAGATATTGTCCGCTAGATTTAAACACTTCTACAAGTTAAAAAGCAGAGACTCCGTGTTGGACAAAAAGTAAGATTTAAAAAAAAAAGGTATCAACTTCAACCATAAAAAGCCAAAAGTCCACGCTTTTAAATTTTATCAGAGTTAAAAAAAAACTGAAAACTCCAATTTGTTATTACAATAGTCCTGTTTTAAAAAACAAGCAACAAAAACTTCTGTTGATGGAGAAAGGGAAAATAGAAAATAAACAAAGCTGTATGCCTGTATGTAGTTGGAGAAAGGGAAAATCCTGGCTTGCATGAATAAATAAATAATAGTAGTAATACTCGATCCTAACCCAAACCTAAAGGGATGGCAGAGAGATACGGCGAACTCAACCCCAAAATCTGGTAAGGAAGCTGGTGCTACCACCGCCTTTTTTGTCTTTCCTAATCCTACTGTCAAGTGATGGGAACTGAATGAAATCATATCCTGCCAGATCCAACAAAATTGGGTTGCAAGGCACTGCCTGGAAGGCAGGTGGAAAGACTTCAATGCGAGCGGGGGCTGCTTTCCTGTTGTTGGAATAATCGCCAACCGCAGATTCATAACAGTCCAATTTCTCCATCAGAAATTTCTCCAGCTGAAATGGGGTTTCAAGTGAAAGTGCAAGTAAGATAAGGTATATAGACTATGTATCAGTCGAGCTCAAACAATTATCCAGGAAAAAGGACTAAAAGCAGACACTTTCATAATATGTTAACACTGCACAGCTAATTCGATTCAATAAATTCATGGACAATTGATGCAGAAAAGGGATAAACCATAATTCTACAAGAGGAAGAACCTTTTTCTCATTTCCACTTAATGAAATAGCTGATATGTTTTTTGAGAGATTTTCTGAAGCCTTCTCTAGCTCCATAATTCCTCTCGCATGCTCTATACAGCCATTGGATCTACTCTCACTGGATAACACTTTCAGTTCATTGACTATCACCTGCTTGGTACAAGGGGGGAGGGAGAGAGTGCACAACAAATCGCAAGTTAATTGACCAAAAACTGAAAAATATCAATCATATCACCCATAAATCCAAAAGACAAGGGTACCAACAATTCAAAATATTGCAGCATATGTGCCAGTTAAAATTTTATCCAAGAGAATCCAACATTAAAGGCGGTCAATGTGGTGCAAACTAGTTATAATGCACATATACCTGCTGATCATAAATACTCGTATTGTAAAGTTTCTTCAATGTATCATCAGCTAAAGAGCGAGCTCGAGAGAACAAGGCATAAGCTTCAGTCCTCTTTCCAGCAAAACTGTAGGATTTTGCCAAGTAAAAGCACCTGCCAAGACAAACAATTTGAGCCTCCAAAAACTAATAAAAAGCCAATTTTTAGGAATTCTGAAAATCACTAGATCTTCACATTCCAAAATCAATACAAGTTCACTACCTATACACCTAATTAAATTCTGAAGCTGGGAAACTGGGACTGGACAAGGAATTGGGAAACAATACACACACAGAGGAAAACAAGACACATTGAGAAGTACGGTGAAATAAGAGTTTAGAATGCAACAAAAAATGACTAATTTCATCAGTTAAACTTTTCCATGTAATGGGGCAAAGTTGTAGCTTTTATTGGGATAGATAAAACATGGCAACCTAATTGAAGGATGAAGAGAACAAGTAGGATGGAAAACAAAGGAGGTAACAACAAGTTGGCATACCGGTGAGCCCGGAAGACCATACTCTTCAATTCACATTCTTCAGCGAGTGCCACTTCTTCTGCTTTTCTGTCTCTTCCAGAGCTTACTAAATCGGAAAGGTCAGAAGTGTTCTGCCAAAAGACACAGAGTCAATACATTTGTTGCAAATCTCTATTATTATTATTATTATTATTATTATTACTACTACTACTACTAGTATTATTTTTATTTTATTATCATTATTATTACTATTATTATTACAATTGTTGTTGTTGTTACTGCTACAGTGCTACCACTAATACTATCATCATTATATTTATAATTGTTATTAGTATTTTTAAGTACTTTGTTATTATTAATTATTACTGTTATTCTTGTTGTTCTTGATATTATTATCACCATTCACAACTACATTCTAAATCAACTCTCGGGTTAATTATACACAATTGCAATTAGATATTATTCTTACCTGTAACAAAAGATCATACAGCCGAACGAGCTCTGCTGGCTTCGTAACTTTTTCATTTGTATCATCTCGTGCCTTGTTGAACTTACTTTTCGCTATGCTAACCAGTAATTGGTTCCGTTCAATAGTTCTCTGTCCTAAAATGGCACCAATGGCTTTATCAAGGCCGCTTAACTCATCTTTCACATTTTCAGAATTAGCTGCAGTAACCTGAAAAACCGTATAAATTGATATCAGTTTCAAGAGTTATGCATATAAAATAGCATCGTGCTCTTCCAAATCAATAGTATCATAAAAAGGTTATGAACTATAGTTCTTGGAGCTCCAGAGATCATTTGATAAGGATCAGCATGGACGTTTGAATTGTTCTCACCAAATCGCCGCGAATGCTGCTTCTGGCTTCATGATATGCTGCAAATATCTTGTCAAACACACCAAGTCTCTTTTCTACTGGAAGAGAATCGCCTGATGGGCCATGAATTTCTTTCTCTAATTCCTGAGCTGCACAATATTTAGAAAGATATTGTATGCCATGCATAAATATAGAATAAAATACGCATATGTGGCATGTCAAATTGATTTGTACACATGCAGAGACCAATTTCTATTGAAGAATAAAACAATACACTAAAATTAAGAAAAAGCTGTGCATAAATAAAGCAGTTTCAGCATGGATTCTCAACCTGTAAGAGGAAAATTCAATACAGTATGCAGCACAATTGTCTCGATAAATGTTTGAGACAGAATTTAACTAACACACTCATATAGCTATATCTAACGAATTTACATGAGAGCCAATATTGTCAAGCCTCTAACTGGAACAGAAAATGTCCAATCCTTGTGCATTAATATATAACCTGTAAAGTTGTATTCTTGTACAGTAAGCTTGTTTCATATATACACTTACCATTGTGCCTTTTCTTCTTTTCCATAGCATCGTTGCCAAGGTTCTAACAGGAACAGAAAAGTGTGTGTATAATTATGTGCATTTCTAACTTATATATCGTGATTGATGTATGGTAGCTTTCAGATTTAACCATTAATTTTTGTTTTACCCTAACTTTACTTTTTCACTAATATGAATGATTATATATTCAATGTATAATTTGACAGAAGTCATGTATTGTACTTTTTGTTAAACCACACACACACACCACATAAATTAAATCATGCCAAGGCCCAGTGCAAACCTGATAAGTCATTTGTTTATAAAAACAAGTGTCCTCATACACAATACCAATCATATAAATCAAATAAATAAAGATATCTGGAGAAACTAAACAGCTTAATGTCCGATCGAACCTAATGGTCTCTCATCAGACAAACTTTCCCACTTACCTTTTAGTATAGATAGCCTTGTTTTGGGGTTTGATATTGGGAATGTATGACCAAGCCAGTTGAACTCTGTCATGGATGCAGCCTGCTGAGCTCTAGCCTCAGCCATAGCAGCCTGCATATCAAGAATACACATGTCATATATAGATAACAAATACTAAACTGATTGCAACTCTGCAGGATCACCTACAAATATGGGCATGGTCACAAACACGTGGCAGTTAATATTTGACGTAAAGGGCTCACCTCTAATTTGGTTTTGAAAAGGTCAAGGGCAGGCCCTTCCATTTCGCCTATGTGTACAAGCTCAGAAGCCTGCAAATTAGACTCGCCAATCTTGTGCAAACAATAGCGTATACTTGGTTCTAGTTGCTCAACATGCTCACGGCATAAAACTTGGTTCTCTAGATCTCCGTATTTCCCAAGTTCTTCATAAACAGCCCTAAAAACTCCTAAGGTCAGTTAGGTGGAAAAGTATAATGGAAAAAAAATGCAATAATCTGAAGTTCGAAACTGAATAAGAACACCGTGGACAAAAGAAGTTTGCGTCCAAGAGAAGGATGGGGCAGAAATATATTTAGCCAGTTAAACACAATTTATGTAGAGATATAAATGTGCTGTCCCGGGTCTTATTAAAACTTTTTAAATATAAAAAAAATAATGCAGTTCAATTATACCTGGCACTTTTGAAACATTTAAGTGCAATGTCCCAGTTCTTATCTTGTTCAAACAAGAGATTCCCTTTCATATATGCAGCATACGCCTGTGGTTAGAAAACCTTTATTGTAAAACTGAAGCATATATAGCAAATGAGAATTACAAAATCAGACATTAGCATGCATTCATGCAACACAGTAGAAGTGCTGAAACCCTCTCATGGATAAAAGTTATCACTATACAAATTTTACGGAAATTGTTTGGATATAAGAACAAGCACTACATAGGAACCTGACCCATGGTTAAAGGCACGCATTAAATTATATATTTAATGTGTGGCTTCATTTTATATAGGCTTCATAGATCACCCCATTATATATTTAAATCTTCTTGAAAATTTGATTATTCCAACTCCATTTTCATACATGTTCTAATTAGTACCAACTAAGCATCTAGACCCAAAGATATTTTAAGGAAATCTTTGTAGAACTGCTCAGGGAACATATATAATTAAATATCAATCACATGAATGGGAAAATATCTTAAACTCAGAGTAATGTTTTTAGTATCTGAACTCCGCTTCATCGCAAAGAAACTTGACAGGAATCCAATTCAACAGGTTTTTTTCTTTCATTGACCCTGTGAGTTGTAATGCGAAAAAAAAATCGAAACTCTTAAATAATTTCATTAGTTTGTGGATTAAGGTTTAACTACAAGTTCCTGTGTAGTGAAGACTGAAGAGTAAAAGAGTTGCAAACTAAAATCTACACGACAAACTCCAGGATATAACTTATTTTAATGACTGGGTGCAAAAGAAAAACGTTGCTAAAATCCTAAAGGTGATTGGTTGTATATGCCATATGGCTGTAAAATTGTAGCTTAATAAGGGTGTTTGTGATTGCTTCTACTTTAAAAAAGTGATTTCAGAGAAACTTCTTGATAGTAAAAGTTGGTAGATTTTTGGTAAAAAAAGTTTAAAGTACCTCTCCACTTGCTTCCCGATTTTAACTTTTAAGTTTTATGTTCTTAATTCAAGCCGATGTTGTCAATTGAAAACACCAAATTCAGCTTTTTTAAGCGAAAAAACTGAAAATCACTTTTTCATTTTTTTTTTGCAAGCACTCCCTAAATCAAGATCGATAAGAATGAATAGCTTTGTGGAGTGTGGAACAATACACTGAATACATGAAATAAAGAGATCTTGCCTCTGCTTCCAAAGAAGTCCTAGAGTCTCCTTTGGTGGCACACAATTCCTGGAATAGTGTAGCCCATTTAACTGCTTTTCTCAACCTACCGATGAGGTAGCTCCGCTGACGCGCATTTGGACCATCAGGCAAAGTTTTCTTTTCCATAGCATGACTCCAAGCTCTCTCAGCGGTGTAAAGAGCCAAGTGAAGAAACCTACATTGGAAGTTGGGACAACAGAACATTCTCTAAGCTTTTATTAAAAGGTCTACTAATTCTGTTGACTAAAAAACAGCAATGTAAAGCTTAAATCAACTCCACTAAAGCAACCATTCCCAGTCTCTTGTTTTTGTCATTTACTTCACCTGAGATTCCATTCATTTTTACATTAGAATTCATGTATAACACAACTAAAATGCGTCAGTGGTCTTACCTTTTTATAAATCAATTCCAACAACACTATTGGAACAGCACTTCAGTTGGATAATAGATACAACAATATATAAATATCAACTCCAACAAAACATTATTGGAACAGCAATTCAGTTGGATAATAGATACAGCAATATATAAATTAAAGCATTCACATTTAATGCTTAGAAACTTCAATACAATGACTCCCAACACCTTGCTGTTCTATAAACTTTACCTGAAAATTCATTCATATTACACAAAGCTCCTTGCAACACAAGAAAAAGTGCTTCTATGATTCTATTGTTTTAGTAACGTATAAAAAAATGCATTACTGTGTGACCGTACGGGTCCCCCAGAATACAAGATCAAGGGAGAAAATTAAAAGGAAGGTCGTGCAAATGAAGCTTGAAACAACAATCTCTCTCTTCCCCTCCTCTTCCCTCTCTATATCCCACTGCCACTCCTCTCCCCTCCCTCTATCCCACTGCCATTCCATCTCCTTCTAAAACATATACTACCTCCGTCCCATTTTATGTGTCCTACTTTGACTTGGCACAATTATTAATAAAGTGGTTGAAAAAGTAAAAGTTGTGGTTGAGATTTGTGTATAATAAAGTGAAATGGTGTGGACCACATATTTCTTTCTAAAAAAGGAAAGGTGACACTTATTTTGGGACAACCCAAAAAGGAAAGTAGGACAGGTAAAATGGGACGGAGAGAGTAACAAATATCATCTTGAATGTAACAAATATATTCCTTAGCTGAACCAATATTAAAAACTGAGACAGGAAGAGAATAAGAGTTCAAAACATGAGGTTGAATCAACGGTGAATATACCAGTCAACAGTCATAAAACAGACAAATCGCGTTATACACACCTCACTTCAGTGACTGTGGCTGCTGTAATTGTACGTTTTGTATACTTCCCACGTCCGTGGGTGAACTTCAGTGATTTGTACAATCGCCGCAACCGGGCAGTGCAATACCTCCTGTGTACTCAATCTTCAATGATCATTTCATTTTCCAGACACATAAAATCACATGTATTGCATAGCACACGTCTTGGCTGTTTATCAATAAGAAAACCAGTCATACCTGTATCTAGTATAGTCACGAAAGCGCAACCCATGCTGCAACTGAGCGGATTTCAGCAGCTGCAACACTGAACATCACCAAATTGATTGCCCAAATTACTATCAACATAAAGGGACATGCACAGAGTTATATTTACATCTAAGGCAACAGAAAATAAAACATGCACAGAGTCCTATGTGATGTTTATCTGTTGAAGCATACATGTGAATATTATATATACTCCTTCAGTCCTTCCTACATTCCTTTTCGGGCCTTCTAAAATTGTCTTTTCATCTCCTTTAGAAAAATGGTGTACCCCATTAGGCATCCCCAACTGCCGGCCCGACATTTGTGTGGTTGATTTCTCTTGCTTACAATTTCTCTTCCTTGTACATTACAAATCACAGTGGGAATAAAATTTTGGACGGAGGGAGTAATATACAAAGAGAATGAGAGAAGAGCAGAAGGAACCATTGATAGAGAATTTGGGATTGTTGATCTGATCGGCATGATTTGAATTTAGTTCTTCAATTTCCATAGTGGAAGCACCATTGTCATTTGCCATCGAAGCGTGAATGGAACGGACCTGTGAAACCGTGAATGTCCTGCAGTTTAGCTGGCGACGGGTGCAGGAGAAGAGTGGCCAGCCGCGAGGTGAAAATCAGAGAAGGACGATGATGTGGAGCCGCCGTGGAGGGCTCCGGTTTCTGGTCGTGTCAAGCTGAATGTCGACGACAGCAGCTTCGGATGGGAATAGACGTGGCTTTGGTCGGGTGCTGAGAGATTCAGAGGGTTTTTGGCCATTCCCCGGTTTTAACCGCCCAAACCGATTTTTGGTTCGAGTCACCGGTTTTCCAGGTCAGTTTTTTAAAGTAAAGACCTCGTTTGATAGATATTTTTTTGGAGTTATCAAATTTACTAGACAATGAACATGTGCGTTGCACGAGAAAAATTAACTCACATTATTATTCAAATTAAAAAGAGATTGAATGAATACACTATACTAACTTCGACTCGAGTAACGTCTCAGTTGCGTTTACGATATTTGACAGGTAATAAACTTAAGTGATCCTTGTTAATAATGAAATTATTTTTAGCAAATAAAATTTATATATTCAAAAATTACATTAAAAGTCTTGTAAAGTCGCAAAATTTCAAATTTGATAAAAAAAATGGATACATAAAGAAAAAGGTTAAGAAAAATTTACATTAATTTTTATCTTATGAGAGAATGAACTTTCATGAGTGTTCTTTAGGGGGTCAGCAAACAGATTCGGTTTGAGTAAACCAAATTGTACCAAATTGAACCGAAATCAAATCATACGCAATTTCATTTGAATTTAGTGGTATGTGGTTCAAATCAAATTAAATCAAACTAAAACTAATTGAGACTGTGAGAAATTGAATAAGGTCGAGCTGAACTCAAATAGTCAATAAATTTTTAATATGTTTTTAAACATAACAAATTCAAATTGTAACGAAGTGATTTAATCCGAACTAAACCAAAACATAGTATGATTCCGATCTGTTTCAAACCGAATCGAATTGATATTAAAACCAAATTGAAACCAATGTGCTCACCCTAGTATTTTTTTATATAAATTTGTTACTCAATGAGTTTTATTTTATAAGAGAAATAACATTTTTAGACTAAAAAGTATGTTTTTTAAATGGGAAAGTTTCCGAAATAGGACTAAAACAGTTTCAAAATTCCAAAATAGAATGTCATTTTTTTAATTCCCAAAATATGACTAATTACTTTCATGTTTGGAAAATACTGTCATGTTTGAAGTCTGGTACTGCCAAAACATGACAGTAATTAGTCCTATTTTGGGAATAAAAACATGATAGTCCTATTTTGGAATTTTCAAACTGTTTTAGTCCTATTTCAGGTAATATCTCTTTCTAAATTGAGGAAACTAATTTTTTACTTTTTTATGTTGTTCTTGTATCTACATTTTTATCCACTTAATTTTTGTAAATTCTGGCTGTTCTTTTATATCCATTGATTCTATAAATTGTAAAGATGAGATATTCTATGTACGTAATTACAGATTTGAATAATTTTCTAGAATTGTAATTGGATTCAAGTAATTATGGACGATGATAATGAACTCCTTAATTTGTTCAAATTTTATGTGTATTTACCCTTGTGATCGCATACATGTGGTACGACAATATATATGGTCTATAAAACGCATATCTTCATTATAATTCAAGTAAATTTAACGTTGGTCGAAAATTGTTCATCCCAAAAAGTCAATTTTCTTGTAGCGGATTGAATTGTATGCCTATTTTGATTAAATTATTATAAAATTGATATACTAAGTTATTGTAGCTCAATTTCAGTAAAAAAAAGTTACTATACCTCGATCATTTAGGTCTCATGCGTTGGTCAAGCATGCATCTTACATTCAAGCATCTCCTTTAGTATTATGCATTGGTTACCATATATAATAAATAACTCAATTTAATGTTATGACTTGAAAAATGATTTAATGCGGAAATAGGCGTGAATAATTGGAGAAATCCATTTGTCCACCCAAATCCTTTATATTATATAAAGATTAGCCATCACCAAATACGTAATTTATGATTTCACGCACTGAATTGTGTAATATACGAGTAATAAGAAAACGTAAGATTGTAGTTACTTTTCTGACTTTAATGACTGAAATTATGTAGAGAATCATTTTAGCCGTTTTTTCATATAATTTTTTATATATTTTATTAATAAAATACTCCCTCCATTTTCAAAAGAAAGTCACGGTTTGACTTCACAATTATTAAGGAAATAAATTGATTTTACTGTAGAAAACACTGTTTAGACATTGTTTGGCACTGTTTGGACACTGTTTCGCGCTGTTTGGCACTGTTTGGATGTAGATTTCTTTGCCAAATAAGGAAATAAAGGAAGGAAGTGTGACTTTGTTTTTGAAACATCTCAAAAAGGAAATTTTCTAAGTCCTAATTGATTAGCCCTCGGTTAATCCATCATGCAGACATACATTAATATACGAAGGAAAGCAAAGCACACAAAGAAAGGAGGGAATGCATTCATTCATCAGAAGGATAAAGAGGAATAAAGTCAAACGACATACAATTACAAGAGAGAAAAATATATGAGGTGTTTGTTTACAATCATGGCAGAAGCCGAAAGCATACCAATGTTTGTTACAAAATATTTATAAGTACAAATCAAGGGTTGTTTGCTCCGGAGGCATCCGCTTCTGCTGGCTTCGAGGTGACATCATCCCCGACCTCTTCATCTTCATCGCTGCACTTTGCCATCAAGACGGTGTCCTCGAGATCTGGCCTCATAGCACCCTCGGGAAGGGGAATTCTGGTGTCTGGCTGGAGGGGGAAGTCCATAAGCCGCCGGATCAAATGCCGTCGGGTCCATTCCCAAGTGCCTGGCTAGCCTCCGATAGATGAGGACCTGAGTAAAGTACTTGCCCCCATCATAGTACTCATTCCCCTTCCGGGCCAGCCACATCGCCCCGGGGCCTCTCACCCATTCGTCTACCGAGGTCTCAACTACCGACGCCACCCACTCTTTCTGTGTCTCGGCTTTCCACCCCTCAGCGACAAAGGCGGCCACCGCTTCCCTCACCGCCTCCCCCTTGGCGGCCTCGGCATCTTCATCGGTCTTCTTAGCGGCCTCAGCAGCTGCCTTCTCAGCATCAGCTCTCCCCTCGGCCCTGGCCACTATCTTGGAATTATCAAGAATCTTGTCGAGGGCCGCCCTCTGGACTTCGAAAGCTTCCTCGGCATCCCGAAGCCTCCTTTGGGCCACAGCCAAGGCTTCATCGTCCTTCTGCTTCTGAAGGGCATAACGCTCCATCCTCTGGATGAGCTCACCAAGGTCAAGGATTGCCTGCAAGGGGGATTAGGAAACATCGAAGGTTAAAATCACTACGCACAAATATGTTGAGGGCGAAGGGATCTTACAGTAACCGAGGCCTGAAGGACCTTGGAGCAGAGGGCGTCATCGGCATGTCGGGAGAGCACTGACTTGTCTGTCGGGGGAGTGGCACCCCTCAGGAACTCCTTCGGGTTCAAGGTGCCATGAATGACAGCGGTCCCCTTAGTGATTGAGAACCGCACGTGGTCTTGGGGCCACGGCACGCCAGCAACCAGAGCCGAGGGCTCGGAGGGTTGTTCATCAACAATGACAACGGGGGCCTCTTTCACCCCGACGACCCCCTTCTTTTGCTTCTTCTCCTCTGGGGGCACCACGCGCTTCCCGGCTCTTTTCCTCTTGAGCTCTCCAATGGGAGAGCCTCCGACATCAGAGCCGACGTCCTCGCCGGCAACAGCCTTCACCTCGGGCACTGCCTCCTTGGCCCCGTCGGCAGTTCCCACCTTCAGGAAGATGTCATCCACCGCCCTCTGTTGCGCCGGGGCGACCTTCTTCTTGTTCTCCTTCGCCAATTGCTTCTTCAATTTGGAGAGGTTCGTAGCGTCCATATCTGGTCCTGAAAAACAAGGAAGGCACACAAGTGTTAGAATACTACTACAACAAAGCAAAGGAAGAAAAATTTGCTAAGTACACAAACTAAGGCCCTCGTCAATGCTACCACCATCGACGCTCTCGTATACACGATCGATCTCGGGATAATTTTCGGCCTCCTCCCCCATGAGCTGATACCGGCGGAAGCCGAGCTTGTATAGCTCGTCCAGAAGGGTGGCATCCTTAATCTTGATATGCTTCTCATACCCCTCAGGCTTCTTGGAGAGTTTCCTCCCTTTCTTCTCCAAAGCGGTGCTCCCTACCTTTACATGCCTCCGGAAGGTATCGTGGAGTGGGACCGGGAAGGGATTCTCCGCCATGCGGACATAGCAAAACTTGTCTTTCCGCCCCTTGTGAGACGAAGGGACATCGTCGAAAAGCCTGAACTCGGGGAGCTGCTGCAGGTTGGCGAAGCCTCCAGCATTTGAGTGACCTCCCCGGCATAGGTTGATGGAAAGGAAGAATTGATCTAGAGTGGGCCCCACATCCCTGCTCTGGCAAAGGGAAAGGAAGCCAGCCAAATAAGAATGGCTGTTCGGGGTCAGCTGGCAGGGGGCGAGTTTGACGAACCGAAGGTACTCGATCAAAAAGGTGTGGAGGGGGAATCGGAGGCCCAACTCCACCGAGAGTATGTGCACGACAAAACAGGCGGCGGGGGCATGTAACAGAACGTCATCTGGCCCTGACTCCACCACCTATGCTGAGGGCCCGACCAAGATTTGTGTCACTGTGTATTCCCCTCGTGTGGCTCTAGTCTTCACATCCAAGGCAGCAGTGGTCAGGTAGGAGTAGCCTTCGGGAATCCCTACTGGTTGACCCGCGTCGACGGCAGCCTGCTTCTTCCTCGGTGCCGCCCTCGTCTTCTTCTTTTTACCCGGCGCCACGCTGATAGGCGTCGGGTCCAGGGGCCTTGAGCTCCCGGCTTCAGCATCATTGCGAGGGGGTGGGACAGCGATGATGACCTTCATCATCTCCTTCTGCGCCTCATCCTCAGCCACTTTAAAGGCGAGGGCTAACTCCTCATCTTCACATTCTTGTTCAAAGTCTTCGGCCTCCATTTCAAGCTGAAGGCTCTTTTGCACCTCCTCAGCTACCGCAAGGTCATTATTGACCGAGAGATGTGCGCTCGAGGATTCCACCTTGGATATGGTCTCTTCGGCTACCGGAGGCTCCCTCGAGAGGTCTTGAGAATCACTTTGCGAGGACATTACTAATCGCTAAACCGAAGGGTTCGAGATAAAAGGTCCCTTAAGGATCTAAGGCCACAAAACAAGGCGACTATTGAAGCGAAGATTAGGTGGGGGGCTGACCTCTGAAAGCTCGATTTGATCGAAGGCAG